TGCTAACAATATCAACAATTTTCTTATCACTTTGTTCATATTTTTCTTCAATTTTTTGAACTCCATCCTCAAATTTCATTGTCATTTTATAAATATTCTCAACTCTTCCCTCTGCAGATTTTTTTTCCTAATTGTGTGATGCTCTGACTTGTCCATTCCAGAATTACTTTTCTCCCTTAGCTATTTCTTGTGAAGATACTAGAACATTTAGGGTGTCAGAATTCTGAAGCTGAAGCTCCAAGATGGCTTCAGCCAGGCCAGTTTCAGAGTTGAGATAGGGTCAATGTCATGTTGTAAGCTCTACTGTTAATTGAGCTTCAGTCTTTTCATATGGCCTCATACTATCTTCAAGTACTCTCTGGTACAATGAAGAATTCATAGGGCAGTTTGTAATAATGGGCTGCCGGGCCCTTATGCAGCAAAGCAACCCCAAACCATTTATTTCTATCCTGCCTTTGTTATTTTTACAAATAAGGTAGCAAACATATCCAACACATTGGAGAGTGTTCCTATTGGTACTGGTTCGCTTCATGCATGCTTTAGTTGCATGCATGTCAGCCACACATTCGAGCATGCGCAGTTGACTGTCAATTGTTCTGTGCATGCACAGAAACATGCCAACCATGGCTGAAGAGACCGGGGAACTGGTTTGGGGGCATGGCTAGCCTGGATCACTGCTGGTTCTGCGATCGAGGCCAAATGACCACTACCAGTTTGACCGAACCAGTGCAAATCGGTAGAAACCCACCTCTGCAACACATCATCTTCCTCCACAACAACAACCCTTTGAGATGTGCGGGGCTGAGAGTGAGTGATTTGCTCCAAGGTCGCCCAGCCATGGCTTTCATGGCTAAGGCAGGATTAGAACTTGTGGTTTCCCACTTTAGACTAGACTTAGAATAGCTTTATTGTCCCTTTGGATGTACACTAATCGGCATATGTTAAAATGAAATTTTGTTGCATTCAGCTATCAAAGGGTCTCAACCTCTAATATACACTACATAAACATGGCTGAATAAATACAAAATTATGCATGACTATATATGCACATGCGCACCTTCTGCATCACTGCCAAGCAAACTACATGGGCAAGTCCCTGAAGACAATGTCAAAATGAGTTTGAAGATGTTATTATTGACTGCCTAAAACTCTTTTTATATTCCAGTATTGCACTGATACTCCTCTTACACAAATAAGGATTCAGAATGATGCTTTGGGATACAAGGAGCTTAGCTAGAGTTTGAAAGTAACAATTATTCTCTCTAGCCCATGGTATGCTTTTTCAGAAGCCATAATCCCTTGAAGTCTGAAGCTTCTGCACAGTGGTGGGTTCTGATCCCGTTGCAACCGGTAGGCTGCGATGGGGCTGGGCGTCTTACCTCGGGCATGCGTGCTGCGTGTGCATGTGCACACCAATGCCCTGCAATGTCCCAACTGCTCGGCGTGTTTGCACAGGCACCGTACGCTGTGCGCACATGCACAATTGGCCCATTTCCGGTATGGCGGCCACTGTTTCCAGCTGCCACCGGTACGGCCGTACCGGGCCGTACCTCCAGAACCCACCACTGCTTTTGCAGTGTTGATTCAGATTTCTCCACAAACATATATATGCAATCTGATTTTAGTAATAAGACTCTTAAAATTCTTTCTGTCCAAAGATAGTACGACTGTTCTCATTCTCTCTCCTAAGCTACCTTTCATCCCCTAAAGATGTGCGCAGCATACAATTCTTGAGATCCACCTAGCCCCACCAGAAAAATGGTAGAGATGTTCAGGCCACATCTCTATATTCCATTTTGGGGTTGATGATATGCTATTATGGGCCTATGGAAACCTATCATTTATTAAGATAGCTTTAAGGTAGCACCAATATCCTTCCATGGAATTCTGGAAAGGAGAAATGAATAAGCATGCAACTGTTGACTTACTTTTGTTGAAAATATAAGATCTAAAAGTTAAAACAACATTAGATGAAGTAAAATATTTCTTGGATTAATAGAAACCAAATTACCAATTGTAAATGGTCAAAACAGAAGATAATTTAAGTTGTTAAATCCAGACTAGTATCTTTTTTGGAGTTAATTCTCAATGAAAAGGGTACTTAAAATTCTGAGAGTTATAAGTAAATGAATTACTTCATTATTTGTATCCTGACATGATGGAAATGTCAGTTATGTCTTCTACAAACTTCAAACATCAGTGTGAGCTCTTACAAAGACAAATAAAATGTATTTAGCATTTTCATTACTAGTTCACTGTATTAATGTTCAAGATTTGGCCTTAGATCAGGAGGTCACTGTCAGAGATTCATTGCACGCTACCTTCCAAGAAAATACCATGGTCATTTTCAAAGATTCTCAGGACAGGAACAGGTGTGAAGAATTCCTCCTGAATTAAGTTTTTTTAAGGCGAGTCTTGTGGTATAACAAAAGGTTGTTATTTTGGGCGGAGAAAGCAGACTGAGTGCTACTTGAGGGATTTGCAGAACTGCTGGGAAGATCCTCCTCATTTTCATCTATTTTCCCTCTCTTTGCAAATAAATGACTTATTTCTGTATCTGAAAGAAATTTCCAGAAAATGCTAGTTTAAAAACTGGGATTTTCTTGTCTGCACATCTTGCATAAGCAGTTATACATATGTCATTATCAGTGGTGGGATTTAAATAATTTAACAACAGGTTCTCCGTGCTGATGACCAGCAGGATAGGCGGGGCTCGATGATCATGTGGGTGGGCATGGCCAACTCAACATAACTCATGTCGATGGGCGCTTTGCCTTAGCTGTTACAATGTAACAAGGGTTAACCGGAGAGGCAGTTTCTGTAAGCACGGCAATAAAGATGAGGCTAGAAACAACACCAGAATGTTTCCTTCCTGCCTTCCTTACAGGATTAGCTCTGTAAAATGGGAAAAAACAAAAGGAGATTTCTTCCAACAACCAGTTCTCCGAACTGCTTAGAAAGTTAACAACCGGTTCTCCCGGATAGCTGCGAACTGGCTGAATCCCACCACTGGTTGTTATGTAGACTCTAAATAACAGTCTGCCTTTGTTTTCTTCAGTATTCAAAATTTAAAATATGTATGAGTTAATTTTTTAGAACCAAAATATATACCTACCTGGTCTTGATCCTCTACTGACTAGCGATGCTTGGCTTGAAGTCCTAAGTGGAAATAAGATTGTTTAACCATTCTGTACAAATCTAACATTAAATTTAGTGTGACTTTAATAAAAAAAGGATTCGGGGGGGGGGGGATTAATATAAATAAACAGATGCAAGTTGAGCAGAAAGATCTGTATTCTTTTAACGTGTAAAGTAGTCTTCTCTTAGATATTCACTGATGAGAGATTGTCCTCTTGTTAATTTCCCCATTTGCTATTTGATTTCAGAAACTGGTTTTACCAGCAAACTGGATTTGGTGCCTTTTAATCCACCTCACCCTGCCTACAGAAAATTTCCAAATAGTATTTCTTACTAATATAAATAAGGTGTCCCCTCAGATTGAACTACATCATCAAACTGATAATACAGTATTGCAATGCTGTATTTAAAATATATAGAGAAGCTTGAAAGCAGTTGTAGGTATGTAGAGCTGATAATATCTACATGATGAGTTGACCCATGCACTGTAAATTACATAACTCTCATCCTGAAAAGTAGTTGTATTAAACTTGATTAAGCACATACGAAATAAGAACACTACTACACTGCCCAAAAAATATTATTTACATTTTTCAGGGACAATCCAATTCCAGCTGCTTTTTGAATACAAACATGACAAAAACAGGATCACATCACCCCTTTAGGACATGCATGTGATATCATGATAGATCGATGATCCCCCCCCCCCCCCCCCCTGTTTTGCATGTGCGGGGGCACTCTCATTGCATTTTGGGGTTTCGTGCGCATGCATTCTCCCCCCCCCCCGCACCCTGTTTTGTGCCTGGAAAGCCTCCTGCACCAACTGGAAGTCAAACCAGAGTGTTGGGGGGCACACAAAGCCCCGAAATGCAATGCGAGCATCCCCCATGCATCCCCCCCATGCATGTATGCATCCCCCGCATGTGCCCTGCCCCCCCGGTGAATGCTCAACAAAGACCCAGTGGCCAGTGGGAGGTACACACAAATGTGCGGTGGAGCTGGGCTGGGGTGATGGCTGGGGTGTCCGCAGAGAGGGCTCTGTGTGCCAGATGTGGCATGCGTGCCATCGGTTCGCCATCACGGTGATAGATTATAAAGGGGGCAGAACATGGAGGGCAGCAAGGTGGCATCATACACATTTGGAAAAGTCACAATGTGTTTTCTTTTTGTTTGTGCACACTTCTTGGAGAGTGAATCATGAGTTTACCCATGGTAGGTAATTACTGTAAGATTGCAGTAAAACCACCGATGGTGTCGAAATGACTTACCTTGAAATATTATCAACCCAAATCAATCCATTGTAGGATGAAGGCCTTTTCATTGAAAGTTAAGGACTATGATCTAGCACTCATCCAATGCAGGATAATAGAGATAGGTGGTTTTTGACTTTCCAGTCTAGGGAAAAGACTTGAAACTCTCAAGTCATTCTTCAGAGGGAATCACTGGCCCAAAGTCACCCAGCCAGGTCCAGCCTAAGGGAAGATTGGGACTTAGATCTTCCCATTCCTTTCTATTGGCTATTGCTTTTCTCTTAAAATAAGAGAAGCTATTAAGATGGTCAGCCATTAAATTTTATTTGCAGGAGTCCTGACAAGCTTCAGATAAACAGTCCCAAAGGTGCTTTTTCAAGTGACAACTGGACTTTTTGGTTTTACTTTGAAGACATTTTGCTTCTCATCCAAGAAGCTTCTTCAGTTCCGAATGTCTTCAAAAAACAAACAAACAGAAAGTCCATTTGCCTCTTGAAAAAGCACCTTTGGGACAACCATGACCTGGATGATTGAGCATCTCCATAGACATTCAGATAAACAGGCTACAATAGATGCTTCCTTGGTGCAAACTCCATTTCCTTGTGCACTTTTTTCGAGTTTACCTGACACGGCTACCTTCATTAGGTGTTCCTTTTTGCCCTCTCAGCAAAGCCTGAATGTTTGGAAGTTCACTTTCAGGCTGGACTATTGGCTTAAAATACAAAAGGTCACGGCTGGTCATATCGGAGCGTATGAAATTGGAGACAAACTCTTTATCTGAAATGCAAAAGATATCGGGGCACTTTAAAAAGTAAGCTTTGCAACTGGCTTTTTTGGCTCAGCAGCAGGGGTGAAATCCAGCAGTTTCTGACAGGTTCTGGAGAACCGGTAGCGGAAAGGTTGAGTAGTTCAGAGAACCAGCAAATGCCACCTCTGGCTGGCCCCAGAGTGGGGTGGGAATGGAGATTTTGCAGTATCTTTCCCCTGCCACACCCACCAAGCCATGCCCACCAAGCCACACCATGCCCACCAAACCACACCCACAGAACCGGTAGTTAAAAATTTTGAATTTCACCGCTGCTCAACAGTGAGCAATTTGCTCATGTTTAAATTTCGCTCATGTATGCTTTGTGACTGAGAGTGTGGTGGGTACATGAAAGGGGTTGATTAATACCCACAGTCAGTGGGGCAAACTCTGTTTCCCTCTCTTTGTAGCTGAAGGACACTTCTTTCATTCTCTTTCAAAATTAGAGAGTATTCCAGACATGTGTAAACTAGAGAATTTTCCTAGAAGGCTCTTCCTCTACCTGCACACCATTGTGCTTCACTATGTAGTTTGTCTATTAGAGGGGTGTCAAACTCAAGTCCCGGGGGTCAGATCTGGCCCACAGGGTGCTTAGATCAGGTCCATGGGGCCACCCTGGAAACAGGGAAAGACTGGCCTGCAGTGCTTCAGCCAGCAAAAACGGCGCTTGGGGGGACTGCATGTGTCCCTCCCAAGCTCCGTTTTCACTGGCAGAGGGTTGCAGGAGGCCATATTGCAGCCACAAACAGAGTTCAGGAGCCCATTTTCACTGGCAGAGCGCTCTGGCCACCACAGGCACCTCATCACAAGTGAAGTTGAGCTGGTCACGCCCACCCTGGTCACCCAAGGTCAAACACAACCCTGATGTGGCCCTCAATGAAATTGAGTTTGACACCCCTGGTCTATTAAATCAGATCTGTTTCTATATCTAGTTGATATGACTTAAAAGGATGTAAGAGTGATAATCATCCTTCTCTCTAAACAAGATATGCTGATTCTTCTCATTTAGTAGACTGAAAATAAAAGAAGCAGCTGCTTTGATAGTCACATTGACTTGAATGAGCCTGCTCATTAAAGCAGCAGTTAGCAGTAACAGCATATTTAGGTTCATGTAAAAGCCTGAAAACTGGTCTGTGGCTTTAAGGAATAGCAAAGCCTTCAAAAGGACTTCCAAATACTTTTCAAAGTGTATTGTGCACTTTAAAAAAGCTTGATAATTGATACAATAATCAAAACAAAACATTGTGTGCAACTATAACCAGAGGTGGTATTCAGCAGGTTCTGTCGAGTTCTGGAGAACCAGTAGCTGAAATTTTGAGTAGTTTGGAGAACCTGTAAATACCGACTCTGACTGGCCCCGCCCCCATCTATTCTCTGCCTCCTGAGTTCCAGCTGATCCGGAGGAAACAAGGATTTTGCAGTAACCTCCTCCTGGAGTGGGGAGGGAATGAAGATTTTACAGTATCCTTCCCCTGCCACGCCCACCAAACCATGTCCACCAAGCCACGCCCGCAGAACCTGTAGTAAACAAAAATGAATCCTACCACTGGCTATAATGTATGTTCTCTTACCTCTCACACTTGCCTTGGATAGCCACTTTTGAATCCCTCCAATGGTGTCTGTCTGTAAAATGTCACAGAGTTTTTCTAGGATCTAGAATCAAGATGGAACATTAACTATCAGGTAGTAGTTTTGATTGTCTTATGTACAACTCTGTTTATCTTTTTAATGTTCCAGTTCAATGTTCCAGTATTGCCAAAATATATATCAATATTTTTCTTTTTAGAACTCTATTGATTTTATCCCTGATTGGGTATCTACTGAGCCAGACATGAGTTCAAATTATTTACAAATGCTGTATGTAAAATGTAAGGTGATTTAACCTTCAAAATGTGTAACACATAACACCACGCTTGCAATACTTCAATTTTCTAAGATTTCAGATAACTAAAACGGTAGAAAAAAGCAAGTGTTTTGGAGAAAGACATAACAGTACAAATACAATTTATATTTTACATAGAACTTTAAACAAACTTTAATGTTGTCACTGAGAATAGGGAATGCAATGCGTTTGAGTTTGACCAAAGGCAATGCAATATTTTCATGCATCCAGGCAAAACTGCAAAAGGCAGTTTCTAGTGAATTCTAAATTTTTTTAAAATTGCATGTGGAGTCTGATGGAAAGAATAGGGACCCTCAGCCTGAAAATATCTAGTCAACCATTTTTAATAAGTGTGTGTGTGCACGCAAGCACCCTTGAGTCATTTTTTTTTTTTACCCTTGGAAATTACCCGGACAAGACCCTGTAGTTTCTTGACAAAATTTCAGAAGTATTTTGCCACTGCCTGCTTCCTAAGACTGAGAGTGACTGGTTTTGTACCTAAGGAAAGATTAGATCTCACAGAGCTGAAGAAGCTTCTCGAATGAGAAGCAAAACGTCTTCAAAGAAAAATCAGGAAGTCCAATTGCCTCTTGAAAAAACACCTTTGGGACAACCATGACCTGGATGACTGATTACTGTATAATCCACTGTTTCACAGGAATATTCCTTCAATCTTATCTTTTAAACATCATTCCTTTCTGCCAAAACACATTTTAACTCATCTTAACTTGTAATATATAGAAGGACCACTTACTGATCGTATCTTACTTTTATTTCTTGATCCAGATAGCTTGGGGCATAATTCATATTTTCCTTGAAGTTTTCTTTATAGTGCGTTCTCTGAAGAGGCAAAAGGTGGAGATCCTGAGAAGCCCTACTTTGTGGACGGTCTTCTAAGTATTTTGTCAGAGGCTCATCCTGATTATACAAAGAGAGACAGCAAATATACTGTAGGTGAAAGCAAAAAGAAAGGCACCTGAGAATTTGGTATGCTTCTGTTCTGGTGTGGTATTGTATGGGAAAAGAGGAACACTGAGGGGAGTTCAAGCCTACCAGTCAAGCTGGAGAATTTGACCCACTTCAGAACCAGCCAGTTCTGACTGGTTCTGATGAACCTGTAGCGGAAATTTTTAGTAGTTTGGAGAACTGGCAAATACCACCTTGGCTGGCTCCACCCCAATGGTGGGTTGCAGGTGGTATGCCCCGGTACGTACATACTGGAGCCTGCCCGGAGCACCGGGCACCATTCCAGTATGGTGCTCCGGAGGGCCCATCCGCCCGCCCGCACTCCTTACCTGACTTTAAGCTCTTTGGTGCTTCCATGCACAGCGCATACAGCACCTGCACGATGCTTCGCCAAACAGCTGGAGCATCACAGAGGCTCGCTGAGGCATCGCTGGATGGTAAGACGCATGCATGTGCTGCATGTGTGTAAGCGCACACTGCGTGCATTCATGTGGAGGACACTGGGGCCCGTTGCAACCGTATCAGTTGCAATGGGATCCGGAACCCACCACTGCTCCACCCCTATCTATTCGCTGCCTCCCGAGTCCCAGCTGATCAACTGGATCTTCTTCTGTAGCCCTGCACAGGAGAACGGAGCTGGAAAGCAGGTTAGTGGGGTGAGGAGGGAATGGAGATTTTACAGTATTCTTGTCCAGGGGTGGGGTGGAAAGGGAATGGGGATTTTGTAATATCCTTCCCCTGCCATGCCAAGCAAGCAACGCCCACCAAGCAAGGCCACGCCCACAGATACTGCAAAATCCCCATTCCCTCCCTGCCCCACTAACCTGTTTTCCAGCTCCGTTCTCCTGTTCAGGGTAACAAAAGAAAATCAGCTAGGAGGCTGGGAGGCAGTGGGGGAGGGACCAGGCTATTTGCCAGTTCTCTGAACTACTCAAAATGTCCGCTACCGGTTCTCCAGAACCTGTCAGAACTGGCTGAATACCATCTCTGGGTCAAACACAACCCTAATGTGACCCTCAATGAAATCGAGTTTGATACCCCTGTTCTAGCCTGATCTCTTAACCATTATACCAAACGGAGTCTCCCACAGTTACTACATCAATGTAATTTTTAAAAAAATAATCTCTTTCCTCAATTGTTTCTATAGCATAGCATTGCTGAAATTAGACTATTTGGGTGACCTGATCATCAAGCACTAATAATTGTATGCAACACAAGACAAGAAGTCCTGATTAGCTTAATTATAATTCAGTGTTTCTCAACCTTGGCGACTTTTAAGTCCTGTGGACTTCAACTCCCAGAATCCCCAGCATAGCTGGCTGGGGGATTCTGGGAGTTTAAGTCCACAGGACTTAAAAGTCGCCAAGGTTGAGAAACACTGTTATAATTAAACCAATTTACTGGTAAACAGTTTCCTGGGGAGCCATTATAATGGAGGCAAAGGACTCTTCACCTTTTTCCTTAAGAGAGGAGTGTTTCTTCCTTGACTTTTCAGCTCAGCACCTTCATCTTTAGTAAGATCTGGAATATAATGAAAGTTCCTAAAACACTGAAGTTGGAGTTCAAAAGAATGAACAGTTAACTATACTTCTATTGAGAAATTCAACAATATGTTGTATTTTTATTAATTTGGGATAGGGAAATAGATGCCCGAATTCAAATGGGCAATATTGTACTGACAGTAACACATATATGCTAGTGAATACACCTTTTTGTAAATCATTCATAGACCTCTGCTGTAATTCACCACAACATAAACTAGTTGAAACACAAAGTAAAAGGTGGTAAAGTAAAGGTTCCCCTCGCACATATGTGCTAGACATTCCGGACTCTAGGGGGCGGTGCTCAACTCTGTTTCAAAGCCGAAGAGCCAGTGCCATCTGAAGACGTCTCTGTGGTCATGTGGCTGGCATGACTAAATGCCGAAGGTGCATGGAACGCTGTTACCTTCCCATCAAAGTGGTCCCTATTTTTCCACTTGCATTTTTATGTGCTTTCAAACTGCTAGGTTGGCAGAAGCTGGGACAAGTAACTGGAGCTCACTCTGTTACATGGCGCTAGGGAGTCAAACTGCCAAACTGTCAACCTTTCTAATTGACAACTCAGCGTCTTAGCCACTGAGCTGTTTTTAAGCTGGCCTTCTGGTTGCTTCTCTGTCTCTTATATCCTTAAGATCTCCAGTTATAATCCACCAACAAGTAGCAGAGACCTCATTCCAACTAGATCATATCTAGATACTCTTCAGACATTTATTTCTATTGAAAGCATGGAAAAAATTTATACCGATGTCAAAATGTAAGATGAAATAGGAAAAACTCAGATTTCAATCTTGTACAGAAGGATTCAAACCTCAACGACTTTGCAATCATACACATTACTTACGTGGAAGAGTTACTCCAACTCCCTCTGTTACCAATGCTGGCAAAGTATTATTAGGAAAAATCTTATCTGCTGTGTTTCCAAGATGCCTATGAGGCTGGTTGTATGCTGGGCCTGGCATGACGAAATGCCCTTCATTGTACCCTCGGTCTCGTACAAAGCAGACAGGGGCATCATTTAATCCTGAGTAAGAAAAGGAGCCTTTAATATTTTCTCAGACCCCTAATTGAGTTTGGCACAAAGGACAGACAATCTTTTAGGGGCACTGAGCATATTAGGAATTTTAAGAATATGCCGTGGCTGCTGTCATAGTTGATGGAGAGGATGCAGAGGTGGGTTGCTCCCAGTTCACCCCGGATTGGGCAAACTGGTAGCAGCAGCAGCGGGAGACTCCGCCCACCCTCCCTGACACTTTTGCGCATGCGTGCCCGCAAGCACAAGCAAATCGGTAGCACCGGGATTTGCAACCCACCTCTGAGAGGATGGACCCCACAGCCATCTCGCCACAGCCAACTTGCCATGGGACAATTCAACAACTCTGTTTAATTATTTAATATAATTTCAAAATGTTTTAATTTTGGTCATTCACATTTCACTTCCTCCCTCTTTTTGCATCCTTTCTTTAATGATTCTATTCCACCATTTCTTCTTATTGGTATAAATGTTATCCTGCAGTGAGTTGTTCCATGGCAAATTGGCCACGGTGAGTTGACCACAGTGAGCTGCTCATGGCACGTTCTCCCAAACCCTTCATGGATGCTTAATACTCACAATGCAAATATTAAATTATTAGAATGCAAACTAGTGAGATTGTCCCCCGCCATCCCTTCCCGCCTCTGCCAAGATAATTTTACTAGTCTAACTTGACTGCAATTTTCCTGGAGAAAAACAAACAAACAGAAAAAGCTACCAAAAAGGCTACAGAAAAACAAGGCAAAAGAATTATTATCTATTTTTATTTTCTTACAATTTGGGTCCTCATTTTACTCACCTCGGAAGGAGGGAAGGCTGAGTCATCCTTGAGCCTGGTGAGATTCGAACTGCCAAATTGCAGTCAGCAGAAGTAGCCTGCAGTACTGCACTCTAACCACTGCGTCATTGTGCCTCATGAGTTTTTAGGTTGTGAGTTTTTATTTTTTTTAAAAAATAATTGTATTTTACATAGTCAATTTTTACCACATTGTTATATGCCACACAGTTTATTATGAGATGTATAGCCATATAAAGTTAACACATCAAACGGATGGATAAACTCAGACAATGTCTCCATTCAAGAAAACATAAATGAGAATGGAGTTAGGATACAATTAGCCACATGGAACATGGGGCACAAAGGAGCCTTACCTTTAATGTGACATACATTTTTAGGGTGTGGGGAGTGTCTACAAACAAAATAAGTTCCTCCTCTTTGCAAGGGCTCATTTGAATTTTGCTTGGCAGTTCCTTTGTAGTTCAGTTGAAGCTCAGGCTGTTGTCGGAAATTGATATTCATCTTAAGGCTCTGCTTTTCTCCATGCAGTAATTCATGGGGCATGGAGTAGCTGCGGCATCTTCTGGAGAGATCTTTAATGCTGGACATAGACAGGAATAAAGTGTCATATATGGTACATCAAGCTAATAAACTTTCATATCAGTGGTGGGTTCTGGCCGGTATGCCCCGGTATGGGCGTACCAATGCCTGCTGGGAGCCGCAGGCACCGTTCTGGTACAGTGCTGCGGAGGGCCCGCCCGCCCGCTCTCCTTACCTCTATTTGAGATGACTGGGGCATTTGTGCACGCGTACGCAGCATACCACACTGCGCGATGCTCCGCTGAGCAGCTGGAGCGTCGCAGGGCGGTGGTGCGCATGCGTACACAGCATGTGTGCATGTGGTGGACACCTGGCCCCATCGCAGCGTACCAGTTGCGACAGGATCCCGAACCCACCACTGATCATATGTATCAAGATATCATAGTATTATGGTAGCCATCTTTACTGTACTTAAACGCCGAGCTGAATCAATATTGGAAATTAGAAGTCCTCACCAAATTATATAATATAAGCAAAATACCTCTCATATATCTAGTGGAATGCGGGGCTTATGAAGTCTCAGTAGTTATTCTACTGCTGCTTGCACTTCTTCAGCTGAGTCAAATGGTTTCCTTTTCTGATTCTGAACTACTCTTCTCCGAAGAGGTGAAGCAACCTTTGCAATACATTGAAGGCCTTGTCTCAAGCAATTGGATACGATTTTCAATCTAACTTTTGCTTTCTTTGTTCTTGACTTCCCTGACCAACAGTAGAGACACAGCAGCTTTGGACTGGAACCCAAGAATTGTTTTAACCCCAGCATTCTGTGCACATCACTTCTTTTATGACATCTTGCTACCATATACAGACATAGGTAACCCCATGGTTTCTTGGACACTGTACTGTAAGCAGAAAATGTGGTAAAATGCAGGGCTTCCTCCTGGAAGCATAAATTATTTATTCAGTTAATCAGCTTCACTTAACAATAAACATAGATGCCAGAAATAAAGCTGCCAGAACCCTTTTCCAAATAAGGAGTGAAGCTGGGGATAGGATGGTCATCAAGCGAAATCCTGATTTGCTAAATTATGAGTATTCATAATTTGATATGGCCCAGTACTAAGAATCATTCAAACTCACTGCCATGGATCTCCTATAGAGCTTGAGACTCCCCAGGAAGTTGTCAGTAACTTAGATAGGGATTACAATTTTCTTTTAACCTTGTCCAGATTAGCAGAGAGAAAACTGGAAGGCCCTCAAAATTTACTCTGGGCTTTGTTCCACATTCTGCTTTTCCAAACATAACCCTGTCACTTTTCTTAGGTCTGATACACCTGGGGTTAGAGCTCATATAAATTCATTAATCACCTTGGGGCAGTAGTGAAATTCAAAAACTTTCTCTACCGGTTCTGTGGGCGTGGCTTGGTGGCGTGGCTTGGTGGTCATGTGACTGGGCGTGGGTGGCTTGGTGCAACAAGCAGGAACCTCACAGAATCACAGAGAGTTCAAAAACAAACCATCACACTTTACACAAAAATAACACAAAAGCTACACAACTGACTCACACACGATCTCACACACGATCAGCTGTGACAATCAGATCGCTGGAACCTTTTTTTTTTACTTTTTAAAAGCATTTTTTTAAAATTACTGGTTCAGGCAAAATGTCCCAACAATCACGTGGCACAACCGATTGTCACAGCTGATCATCGGAATCTTTTTAAAAACTTTTAAAAACATTTTTTTATTATCTATTTGTAGTAAAAAAAAATGCTTTAAAAAAAGTGAAAAAGGTTCCGATGATCAGCTGTGCTTCTCGATTGTTAGAACTTTTCTTTTTACTTCTTAAAAGCATTTTTACTAATGGTTCAGGTGAACCGGCCAAACATTTCACCCCTATAGCATTTCAGAACAATACATTATTTTTGCTTATGCGGGTAACAGACTAAATATTTTCGAATAAATCTCCTGTTTTGATACACTGTGCTAAACTATAAATTAGCAAGTGTGCTGCAGAATTAGAACATCGAAATTACATATGTAGGGTTAGTGAATTAAGCCATATGGAGGCACGTTGACAGACTGATTCAGAAAAAAAGATATTCTCTCTCATTCATTAAAGTAGTTCCATACTTTTCAGCCCCACTTCTCTGCGAACCTGGAAGAGAGATGCTGCTGCTTTAAGGAAACCACTCTTAAACTGACTTTTAAAGAAGCAGCATCTTTGGTGATCTTTTGGAAATCTTGTGCCAGGCCCAAGGCACTTCTTTTTAGTTATTTTTCAAATTGTACATAGTCTACCCCATTTCTTGGGGGGGGGGGGGATTCACATAGAATGCTGAACATATACTGGAACTCTTCAATATGACAGATAACAATCCTGGACAAAATCCTACCAGATCACAATATTTCACCTGCTCTTGCACAGCCACTAGTTTCAGTTGTACATTTATCTTTAAAAATCTTCTGCATCAAAATACATACATGATCCCAATATTTTCTGGCTTTATTGCATATCCACCAATATTCCCTCGGTTTCATTATATTTCCAATTAATACTTCTTTTCACAATTTTGACAATTTATCTGGTCTTGTGTACCAATGATGTCATGTACATCATTTAAACCAATCTCTTTAAGATTATAATTCAGTGTAACTTGTTCTAGGTATCCTTTCCGTTAATTCAATATTGTTTGTAGATAAACAGCATTTGGTCCAGGGCTGGAAGGCAGGCAGAAATACATATTTGATCTTTATGTGTTCTTCCTTATTTAAGAATTCCCAGAAGATGTCACAAATCTCTTCGTCTAAAATTCAAAGAAACGTTCATTTAGTATCTCTTTGCAGGGGTAAAGAAAATTCTATTGCTTGGTGTAGGAAACCCATGGCAATGCTGTAAACTAGTCTGCCACTAGATGGTGCAATTTCATATTTTGCAAATACTCCAGAGATGATCTGGTCATCATTTTTATGACTCACTGACAGTGCATTTTCCACTGAACACTGCAATCAATTATCTGCTAATTCTCCACAATTTTCCCTGTCAAAAACTTACGAGGTCCCAGCTGATGAAAGAGGATACATTAATGATATATAGAATAGAATAGAGTAGAGTAGAGTAGAGTAGAGTAGAGTAGAGTAGAGTAGAGTAGAATAGAATAGAATAGAATAGAATA